ATACTCAGGATTCTGTTTGACTTTTCTGCATCTTCATTGGTCCGGTGTAGTTAACTCATGTATGTTTACTAACCTATTACCCACGAAGCTTTCAAACGCTTCGGTTGAATTTTTATGCATTGAAGTACAATTAATGAGTCCGTCCAATAAGTGACAGAAAAAATATTAGCGCATGGTACGACAGCTGTTAATTCCATTCTAGGACTGGCTGTATGTTTCAGCGGGGCAACCCTGGACTTAGCCAATAAAAGGGAACAATGGACTTGATGAGAGGCATCTTCAAATCCAGCATAGGCCACGACACAATATGCTTATTCAGAGGCATCGGCAAAGCAGAGAATTTAAGTAGTCAGTGGTTTGTACAATTATGTTACGAGACATATGGGAAGTAACAATTCGTGTACATGCCTCACACCTCTGAAATAACAGTCTCATTTCAAAAAGCGCTGCCCAGGAAGCTAAGTGTCCCATACCAGACTTTGCTGATAAGTATCTTGCAAAATTAATTTAGCTCGCAAAAAGCTGTCGCTATAAGCCCAACTGGGGCGAATATAGAAGCTAAATGCAACAAAACGGTACTCCTCGTGGGGATTGCCTCAAATTGGTGCGCTCTGAAGCAGATCTTATCCGTTCGAAAATTTCACTCTATTTTTAGATTCCTTTCATTTATTTCCAAAGACAAATAAATGTCTATGTTTCTTTCTATGCGGTATTCCCCTGGAATAAACTTCATTGATTTGATATTACTGATAGCTCACTTGGTCAGATTAAAACCTCTTAAACGTAAGATTTCCTTCAACTGAGAATTTAGTAATTTGGCTTCATTTAATGTATCAATACTGGTTAATAAATCATCAACGAAGAACTGTTCCTTTTCTATCTGCGTAATGCATTCAAAAAACCTATTCTCGTTATCTAGGATAGTCCTATGCAGGACAAACGTCGCGCAACTTGGAGAGGAAATAGCCCCAAACAAGTGTACTTCCATCTTATAGGTTCCTGGTTCAGTTCTTATGTCGCCTTGAGTATACCATAAAAATCTAGGGGCATTGAGATCCTGTTGTAAGACTGTAGTGATGAAACGTAGAATAGTTTCAGGGAAAATGTTTTCTGCCAGTTGGTTACTTAAGAAATGACATGGAAATTTAGAAGTTTGACTAAGTGTTCGACGACAGCCATTTGTATAAATCATCAGTGTCAGCAGTTGAGTAAAGCCCCGGCAAACTGAGTGCATCGTTGCCATATTTATATAACCACCGACTAAAAGTTCATGCCATTATGGCTTGTACTCACTTTATCGACCTATGAGCATTCAACTGACCGAACACATCGTACAATATATCAGTTTCAATGGTACCACGTGGGTTGTGTCTATTCCAGATACTTAATTTCAAACGAAATGAATAATAGCTACTGTTTGACCTAAAGCTTATATGGGCAGTTATTCTTAACCATCCCTTTACTAACACTGATCCACTAGGTATTCAGGACGTTGGGTTTACAGCCCGATTCTCACGGCTACACTATTAATGAACCAATTACTGTAGACTGTTCGCGCGAGATTAGTGACATTACCACATGTATCTTGTGACAAAACCTCATGTATATATCCTTGCATATATTTTTGTGTGATAGGTAAAACTTACCACACGTGTGGCTTATCTATTTGTTTGTCATCATTATAAACAGAGGTAATAGAATGGGGGTGTTCTTGCTGGGTAAGTTGATTAGACCGATGTCCCTAAGGAAGTCGATTTTGGGAGGAAGCTAATGTAACAATTTAGGTAGACTTGCTAGTAATTGACTGAAAATATCCAAGTAAATGTCAAAAGAATGAAGCTCAAGTATTCACTCACTTCTTTACTTTGTATAAAGATTATATCTTACATTATCTTACAATGGATGTTGAAAAGCTTTGTGTATTTGAAAAGGTAATCTTGCACCTCACTACCCAACACTAAATAATGAGAAATATATTGCTTGCGCAAAATAATAAGTTAGATTGACTTTTGAGCCATAATATTTCAAAATTTCCGGGACGTTTCGATCAATTCTTAAACGCCCAAATTAGGTTGTTTTTGATCTGCTTCGTAGTTCTTCCTCTAAACATAAATAATTATTATCAGCTACCACAAGTTGTGATTTTTGAATAGCGTGGTTCTTAGTTGGCAAAAGGTGAATCGTTGATTGTGTAAATAGCCGTTTGTCTCGTGAAGATGCACATCGAATAATTCAGAATTCTGAAATTCCACCTAACATTTTTGACAAAAATTCCACACAGTGTTGTATATCAAAACGAACGAACTTGAGATGGTATTCGTCACCAATGTAAGTTAATTTATTATAACGGCAATGAGAGCGCTTCACACAGGTATATTATCTATGATTAGTCTGCAGATCATCTGTTAATTTCAAAAGTCGAGCTTCCACATTCCACGAATGGCAATCCAACGTAACCAAAAAGAAAATATTGGCACGATTATAACTTAAAAAAAATACATGACATAATGCGTTTTTATTGCGTTTGTTGAACTTGTTTGATTATATTCTTCTGTAGCTCTTTTAACTACGGTCTAAGCGTCTCATATCGAGTGAGAAATCTGTGTTCCAATATCATTTGTTCAGTAAACCGGGCTACGAACAGATCAATAATGCTTGATATAAATTCAATGGTGGCTTTTTAGTTTGAGATTAAATGAGTAATATGCAACCTCAAAACTTCTTAAAATACCTTGAAAATACACAAAAGTAACATGAAGAGCTCTCTGGGCACAACTTATAGCCCATGACTCCAAATGCAATTCAGTCATGGAATTGATTATTTTAGTCGGTAAACAGCCGATATTTCCCCACAATAAACATTGGGTGTACGTAACATAGTGATCGGCAAGTGTAACATAGCTCCATCTGTACTTAAAATAATGCCTGAAGTAACTTTGAAACCCTCAACATACTGTCGTTGCTAGTATGCAAAAATATATGTTAGTTCGGCGAGTTAAAAAACAAATTCGCCAGAGATTTTTATGCTGTCATCTTTGTGCACTTTTCATTTTTTTCTGAAGCTTGGATTTTCATGCTTTTGTTATATCGATACTTGTATCTTGCGTCGTTCGCGGGTGGCCCGAATTTGGCGCGTCTTTGATTCTTTTATGTCGTTTTGTATCGCTATTAGAAGCTGCTAGTTTTCATCGTGATCTGTATTCATTTTTTTAGGTACTGTTTAAAGTTAGCTTGTTTTTTAATCCTGGATCTGAAAAAGGGAAACTTACTTGTGTTAAAGATGTCATTATTTGTCTTAATCAGCTGCCCATTACTTTTTGTTAAAATTAATGTAGTGTTCAAATTCGATTCACTGATTATTTTCGTGAAGACAGTTCCATTATTTTCAGTCCGAAAATGTTATAAACAACTCTTTTCCGGCCTATATGCACATTTTTAAATTTTGCCGAGTTTCCAGAAATATGACATTAATTACTGGTTAATTGCATTATTTTTAACAGTGGCTTGATTAGTCTTTTTCAATCAGTGACTTTTGTAATGTTAGGCGATGGGTTATTTTTTCGATCGCTTCTGGCTCCTGTTTTCGACAAGTAGACTGAAACATTCATTGCCTTAATTTCATAGCTATATTGTCGTATTCGCATGAGAAAAACAATATTGTAAAAAATAATAGGTAATAATTCTGTCATGTTTTCATATGTTTACAAATAAAGGGTTGGAAATAGTAATCGGTATGTTCACTAGTTATTAGCAAATTGTACCAGACTATCATGTTATATTTAACTATTTTGCAACTAGCAGTTTCCTCTTAATCGTGTTGTCCGGTTAACCATATCAATTTGGCTAAAATGGGTTTCAAACATGGCATTATGCGTTTAATTCACATACCTTCAATGACAGTGGCACTAAATACCTTCTTGGGTGTTTATGGTTGGGGCTTGTCTCCAAATTTCGGGATTTGTAAGGGTTTGATCGCTGATCAAGAGGCTGGCATTATGAAGCGATATTTCAGTACATTTGTTTAAAAATCCTTTGGCTACTCTTACGTTGAAAGTAAATAAGCAAAGTTGAGAATTTAGTAAGTACACAATCTGTGCATCGTGATAATAAGATTAAATGATTCTGTTTTTACTTACGAAAGAATTGTTTGATAGTATATTTAGACAGTTTAAGTACTTTCGATTATGTAGTCAACATTTCGTACTTGATGTTTTCAAACGTATGTTATATTGCAATGCGTAATATCACCCTTTTTTCCCTTCTGTGTCCTATGGATGTGGAATCTCTAAATACCACACTTTTGAAGAAATCAAATTTAGAACTCACTAATTGACCTGAAACGAGCTTTGCTCACTTTCATTGTATTCTCACATGTAACGCTTTGTACAATATGAAGTCCGTTATTTTATTTTCGATATATCTTCATTAAATATATAATGCACTGTGATCTATGTCCATTGAGAACTACTGTGTTCATGAATTATAATAATTTAAATTTAAACATGACTAGTTAACTTTGCTTTTTGCTCTAAAATATGTTCACATTTTCGCCGAATTGTGTTTTGATTTTAAAATCGGCCAAGTGATGTTAAGTGTCCAGGAATATTAGGCTATAAAAAGCAATAGTGGCAGACTGATTGCAAACCGTCGGAATTCTAATCGATTGCAAATGGAACATTTTCTCCTCCATAAAATTCTTTCCATGAATGCGCAAAACCAACGACCACATTAGTTATATAAGCTTAATAGTGGTTGAATCTTAATCAAGAATTCATTTCTTTCGAAATTACTGGCTGTTCACAATATTTATATATGTCACTATCTCACATCTCATATTATTGTTGTCTTTTGATTTAACCTTATATTTAGGTAGATAATTTCTCGATATCTTGTTAGTGCACTTAATCTGCTGACTACTGATCGTGGCTGACATCCACTGCCAGATATATCTTTCCTCAGTTTTTTTCGCAGATTTCCGGGTGACTTAATAATAACAATAAATGATTAATTCTAATGGTGATAGAAAACCTCGGAGATCGGTAGGTATAAATTACGTTTTGTGTGATATGTTTTTTTGTAGTCATTAAAGTTTACATTCGATCCAGTGAACGATGCATCCGTAAGTCAGTTTTTAAAAATGATAACTTCAATACAATGTCATTTTTCTCATTAGGAAGGTATTGTATCATCTAGGGGTTTGAATAGACGCGTTTCATTCTCTCAATATGTTTTTGTTTTGGGCGACGAGGATGATAGTTCTCAAATGTGTGTTAGGTAAGATAATTACACAAGACTTATTTTGTGTCCTTTATTCTTATTTTGTTTTGTACGTTTATTTGCAATCTTTCACTGTATTTTTATAGTTTGACTGTTGATGAGTTTGACATTGTTCTATTTGTTGGTTGAATTTCATGTAAAATTCCCATTCATGTGAATAAACCTGAAATGTAGTAACTAGTGAGGGCTGTAAAATATAGCATCGAAGAGTAAGGAATATTTTCAAAGGCGGAAGAACTTTTGATCAACCATGCTAAAAACGGGTTGGTCGATTTCATAAGATTGTGTATAATAAGGTATGTGTGAATGTTTAGTATTTTTAAACTGCTCACATTGACTAACAATTCGTAACTGTCAGAAAATCACTTTTGGACATAATAACCAATGCGACCCATGCTTTAGAACGTCTTTTCATACTGATATATCATACAAGACTTCAGCAATTAATCTACATAATGATAGTATGTTCCTTCTACCCACATTTCGAAACAGGAAAAAATACCTGAATAAATCGAAAAATAAGTTATGTAGTGAAAATCAAACGTATTTGTGAACATTTAAGTTCCAACAAGGCAAATGACGCACTATTGTGATAAATTTCTACCTACTACTTTTAAAATATTGGTATTAATGTATAAACAAACTAAGATACTTTAATGGTTCGTCGCGGTAATCGGGCGTTTTGTGAATTAATGCAATGTATAAGTCCATTCACGTACTCAACACTATCCATCCGGTTGCACCTGCGGTCACAATAGTTCAGGAAGTAATTAAAAATGAGCCACACATATCTCATTTGGTTCATTTCCTATAGTTTTACAATATTTACTGATCACCCCTTACATTAATTACAATTCCCTTATTTATGGTTATTCACTAGCTTTTGTTATTCCAAAAATGAAGGTTGACTAATTCTTGAACGTATTTCGAAGTCTTATTTTAATCGTATTATTTGATCAAGTCTTTTTGTATTTGCAGTCGTTTCAACTCGAATATATCTGTGGAAGATGAATTTGCTACTACTAATAATAATATCAATAATAATAATAATAATGGCTATAATAATGACAACAATAACAACAATAGCAATATTAACGATAATATGGAAAGTGTCACATCTATAAGTGATGTTTCTATGGAATTATCACACGAATCTTTCAATGAACAACAAAACACGAATATGGAAGTAGATAATGAAGCTGATAGTCGAAGGTTATCCTCTAAATGTAGTTCTTTGGAATCAATTACTACTTCTAGTCTAGATGAAATGATGATTGTACCAAATGAATTAAGTTGTACACCTAGACATCATCATAATGCTTCAGATATGGAGGTACAAAGTAGCATATGTCCATTACCATTACCAGTTAATGAAGAATTGTGTAGCATGTCTATCATCTCCAATAATGAATTGAATCTTTCCACCAATAATGATGGAAACATTGATAAAAGTTTACCTGACAATAGTTTAACTCATAAAAAATATTCCCAGCCTTTATATCATAATGACGTACCGGACACTACTCCAACAATAAAAAATAACGAGGATGTAAATCTTGAAAAAATCCTTACACCGTCGTTCAGGTCACCTCATTTTCTACAGTCTACAAATACGATGATGACAGATATAGTTGAAGATCCATTATTATCGCATAAACGACCTGTATCGGTTGTTAAAATGCCCTTAATCAATTTGAATCTAAGTAATTCCTTACCATTGACAAGAAGACGATGTAATATTAATAATAATCTCCAATCGGATGTTGACAAAACGCCAAAACCTTCTGAACCAGAAAGAATTACATTTGTTAGCTTAATTAATACACCACTACGTCAAGCAAATATCGATGATACCGGTATTAATCTAACTTCCGTAAAAAAAGTGATTCGACCGAAAACTTTCAGAGATGTAAATGAGTATAAACCAGAACGACTTTTATCAAGTACCAGACGATTGCATAATCACCTGCACAATCAGCTAGTTGAATGTCAACTTGAAGCTGTCATCGATCATATTGTGAGTCACACTGTTTTCATACCTTTTTGATAAATATTTACCATTATTTTCTCACATTCAGCCAAAAAAGTTAGCTATTATAAGTAAAGCGTCAGAACTATTAGCACTGTGTTACCACGGCTGAGGTTATTCGCAGCATTTGATGAACACCAACTGTATCGTACTTAGCAATGTCGGTCATTCTCTCGCTAATTTAGTGGGTGTATGCTAATCATTGGATCTTTATTTCCATTCAAAATCTCGTTTCAGGCCTAGACTTCAACTATACCCATGTTTTTCATCCGCCATGTCAGTCTGCACTACGCTAAATATGCCCATAGCAGACAGCTGTAAATATCTCCTTTTATTATGGACAAATAGAATGCAAATTGTTGTACAAATTGGTAGGAGTTTTCTTGGAATTCTGTTGTAGAAGGTTTAATTTGCTTGTCAAACCAGAACTCCACCCTAAACACTAATTACTTACTGATCAAGGGAATAATAATCTATTCTGTGCTATTGGTATCTGGTCTTTCTGGGATCAGTATCTCACTAAGCGTTAGAATCAAGTTGATGCTGATCTGTTGAATCTTCATTCACGGTCGTTTGTGGACTATTGGGCTAGACGATCAGTGTGAAATAACTTGCGTGGGATATAGTATCTTTTCGTTATTTCGGTTTTTGTCCAGACAGTTTACATCCAGAATACTGATGTGAAGAGAAGGATGGAATGGCAATGGCAAACAAAGCTATTTTTTGACATTGTTTTGTCTAACTCCAAATCTGTAGACTGCTGGCATCTAGTCATGTCTCTGTTTTATCTTATCAATAATCTTTCGACTAATCTATAAATCATAGTCATATTCTCTTATATTTCAGGATCACCGTATTTTAAATGTGATCCTTATATTCCACTTTTTCCTAATCTAATGTCCTAGCATATATATCATTGTATCTTCGTCATTGTTCATTGTGGTCATCTTAGTCATATATTTATTCATGTACCTTTTTAGTTAATTGAATCAGGAATAAATCAGACCTAGAGTTCCAGATAGATTGTCTTCCCTCTTCGCCTCCCAACCAATCAGATGGTTGGTCAGTGATAGGATAGTTTCATTCCTACCACCATATTAAGACTGTAAACTATTTCGAGACAAACCCTCTTAGACAAATCAATGTCGTAATATTTACCAAAATTCTGCCCCCAAATGCCCTGGTACGGCCCAGAGTGGGGAGAGTCCGCTCTCCCTCTCCAAATGCTCTCACATGGCCATGCGTATATAGCCTCTGTCAGGGAAGTCCTACTCACTGCCTTCTCGCACCAAGGGTGTTGTTTACGAAAATGAGAGGACGAAAAGCGAATGTCTGGCGCTTTAACCGGACCCCAAACCATTGGTGCACATGGGCTCCAGTATCCTGCGGGAACAAATGGCGTATGAACCAATCGTTGGTCACCGGCTACCATGGGACTGCATCTCCTCACGATGCTCCACTGCCTTGTGGGTCAGACGTTCAGGTCAAAGACTCGGGGTGTGGCCCCCTAAGAAAACCACCTGCTGTTTCGGTTTGGGCACCCGAGCAGTATCACAGCCCTCACACAAATCAATTGAGATTTGTGTGGCGCATATGTATTTGGTGCCTCCCTGTACCTATACTTATGTGTTAAAATAAAATAAAAAATAACCAAAATGTGATACCTTAGCCAAATAAATGATCTCGACTGGACGCGTTCAATGGTTGTTGTGATGTTATTTGTGGATGAGTTGTTTCAATAACTACCTTCTGAGTTTGATTATGCGTCGGTTTCATAAAGCAATGAAGTAACTTTGGTAGAAGCGATAATATAGTTGATGGTGATCGATATAGGCTCATACAACATTCACTCCCTTAGGATACTGTAGGCTGTTCACCTTCAGCTTAAATCAGAGTTTTTTTCAACTCCCTAGGTGAGCGAGCAGTGTCTACTATCGTGGTTTAGGCGTTACACCAAACTTGGACCTTCTTTTTGTAAAAATGCTCTCTCCATGTAAAAATAGTAAGACTTTTGTGGAAGAGGTCGAACATGGATGACCGTATGTACAGGGAAAGCAAGATCAGCTTATTCCAAACAGTAATCTATTCCAAGTTCACTCTTGTGTAAGGTATGATTGAAATCACTACAGTATCTTGTTTATGGATATCTATGTGGTTACAACTACGTGTATATGTGTATGCAGTGATGTCAAATGAAATATTGCACATTTTCCAAGAAAAAGGAATTGATTTTCATGAAACATTCGTTGTTTGATATGTACACTTTTACAGTTTGAATAGAACTTTATGGTCATGTTTGCATCAATTTTTATCCTTTTGTTTCCTCAATTTAGAAATATGATTTTTGTAACATTAAAAGTATTGTGAATTTCTTGCGTAAAAATGAATACATCGATTGTAACTTGGAAACTTTGGACAAATCAACATTGCTGACTGATATGGACCGATATGGATCAGATGAAGTTAGTAATTATTATTGTTTAGCTCATTTATTGCATATCAATTTAAATTTTATCTTAGGATGATAACTTTTAATTATTTATCAGTATGGGAGTTATGGAGATTGTTGATTTCTATTGAGATCTAAATTAGCCGATCATTAAAAACCTGGAAGCACTGGTTAGTGTTGTTTTTGTCCCTCTTGTGTTTCTGAATGTGTTAAACTGACTTGTGTCTGGTGCTAAAATTCTGTTTATCCTGTCATGTCAGATATTTGTTTCGTTCTAGTGTAGGATTAAGCATTGAGCACATACAACTCACATTCAGGATCGAACCCAGGGCCTTTGTGCGAAACCAAAGCCCCTCAATTGAAACTATAAGCATCCTAAAATCTCCATAAACCCCTCTATGCTAAGAATATATATAATGACAAATTTGTTCGAAATAGGTTATTTATATGGTCATGTTTTTTCTTCTCATCTGTTTTTATTATTCCATGATTCTTAACAGTATTTACAATTGCAAAACCAACTAAACTTTCATCTCTATGATAAATTAGTTAAACGACGATTTGTTATTGAAACTGAGAATATAAATCGATTGGAATTCTGGAAACGTTTGTAAGTGATCATTTATTATTTGATCGATATTATTTTTACCCTTACCCCCTCCCCCCCTCATTCACCTTAAAATTGTACCAATGTAAATTTCCAGTTAATTAGTTCTTTACTACATGGGTTAAAAGTGAAACAGATTTTAGTGTATTATATGTGTATATGATTATTGTTCAAGAATTCATATTACCAAAATCGCTTATGCTTCTCTATTGATACCCAAATTTATGTGATATTAAGCGTCTTACTGTTAAATCTCCACGGTTTATCTTCGTAATTTGTCTACATCTGTTATCTTACGTAAAATTAAATGATATAGATGTCATAGCAGTCGATTAGCTGCATATTTTGCGTGTATTGAATACTTTGTCAAATAAATACACTTGATGAAATGGTAGAAATACAATAACTGAATGTATCTGAGTCTTATACCCTTCAGAATAACCCCCATTTGTGATAATACACTTTCCCTATCTCTTTCTAGGGCTTTAAACGTTTATGGAGGTCCTCAGAGTTCAGACTTCTCACTCGTTTTGTGTATTGTTTCTTGTAGTTAACCATTTTATATTATGGGCATAAAAATAAATCTCAGTTAACAGTCATGCAAAACATAAAACCTATCACATGCATGCAGCAGTTCAAGTTACCACACCAAATCAGCGCAGCGAGATACCAGAGTAGTATAAGTGGTAACAGTATTAGTGATAACAGAAAAGTTTAAGGATAGAAGATATGATTCGAAAAGAAAAATATGGATTAGTGAAATAGAAAAACATAAAAGTTAGGAAGAATTCCAATACTTGGAATTTAAAGTAAGGAAAAAGCTGAACTCACCTGTACAATTGTGAACGATCGAGAGTTATGCTACACAAAGTCTCTAACCATTGGTCACGATAATCACACTTACCTTAACCAAGCAGTCTGCACATACCAATATGGTTCAGTCTCAACAGTTCATATGATCATGAACTGATACCATGTCCTAGTTTGGTCACAACTAGCTTTCCTTCAACCTAATCCCTACACAAACTATCACTTAAGATGAAAATATCACATATCTACTTGAACTAACACACACACACACACATACAAACTCATCGTAAATCATCTGCTAAGAAATATTTTCATTTAAACATGCATTATTTTACTTAAAATGTAATTTATCTTCTTTTCCAAGATGTTAACTCTAAATATTTTATCACTTGAATAATTTGTTGTACCTTTAAGTCTTAACTGTATATTATTATAATTAAATAAGCTAAGTAGTAAACTTAAGTATTGTAAAATTAATTTTAGATATTTAGAACGTATCAGTACTGTATTAATTTCGCCTCAATTAAAATCAGTTACAAAGAACGTATCTGAAATGAATTTGATAGAGGTAAGATTATCCTTATACACAATCTTTCTTTTATATACTACTACCTTTGAAGTGACTACTTCTATGAATCCGGTGTTCATCTTGTTGTGCTAATGCGGTATGGATACTTGAACCGATACATATATGTGCCTAATCCTACGTTGCAGCTGACTGACTGATTTGAAATCAGTGACTAGTTTTTCTCTTTTATTAATCTGTACATGAAAAAAAGTGTATTATGTGTAACTCTTATAACTTAACAGTAAGATTTTTTTTGTGGTAGTGGAGAGAGGGCCCACCATAAATATTTCAAATTTTGTCACAATGTGTAATTTTCACTTAGCCAGCTTGTAGTGCACTGTTTTGGTCGTTATCTACAAGTAGTGATTTATTTAAAGGTATCAGAACTTCATGCTGTATTCACTGGTTATGAACTCAAATAACTTCCAAATGTTGACCAACTCGATTTTTGTGTATCGCTAGACTTTGATCAGTCCTTATGAAAGTAATAGTAATTATTGACAGTTGAGTATTTCATTCCAATCGAATATATTTTACTTATATTTCCAGTGATGTGTTTTATTGTTAGTTATAGTTATTCATAACTATTATAGTCATTTCATTTGCTTAGAGGTTTTTTTATTGGATGAAATTTTACTGTTTAAGCGGAGCAATAGTCTATTGGTTATGCTGTTCAATAAAGTTCCACCTACTTGAGCTTAGGCAACTGGGTAGTATCATTAGCACTTACACTAAGAGTGTGGCTCATACCTAAGTACCTAATGAACAAGCTAATCAGTTTGTTATTTATCTTGGTGTAATGCAAGTGTTTAGTTAGATTAGATAGATTTATTATTTATTTATTTATTTGAACACATAAATATTGGTACAGGGGGGCACCAAATATATATGCGCCACACAAAACAGTGATAATTAGAAGAGAAGGAGAAAAGAGAAGAAAAAAAAAGTAATGAACGTGGGGAATTATAAAAAAAAGAAGAGAGAGAGAGAGAACAATGGTGGGGGAAACGGAAAGGTACAATCAGAACAGATCTTTCAGTTAAGGAAGAATACGACCACCTTTTTATGAAGAAAGTAAAAGAAGGTTACAGCAGGATCGCCACTGGCTTCTATTCTGAGCCATATCTGATAACGTCTCTAGCCACTGCGTTACACCATCTCTCGGACCCCAACCAGGGAGTCGTGAAGGACCAACATAAGCTAGCCCTTTGCAGCTTTCTTTCATACCACGACACCATGTCATATACTGACAGATTAGATAGATATAAGTGGATAGGATGTTTTGATTTATGTGAATGAAAAGTTGAGATTTCATTCTGTAAATTATTAATTTACAAACATAGATTTTTATTAAAAAGTTATCGGATAATGAAACAAAGAAACCATACAATGATTATACAAATAGATATCCAAGCATTTGTACAACTGTTATTTATTGGTTATTCAGCGTTTAGAATAATCTGACGGTTTACACCGACGATGATGAGATTTGTTTTCAATAAGCATATCGCTGATAGGAGATATATGCTCTACTTGGCTATCTCTCAAAATGACCCGATTCACTTATGACTTCGACTTATCAAAGAAAAAGAATAGACTGAAACCTCTCAACTATCTTGACACATATGCATTTTTCATGTAATATAAATTATTCAATATCATTCAAAGTTTCATGTTTATTTTTCAGCATTTAAAATTTATGGCTGGTGCACAACAATTATTTCATACTTGTTCAAAATTTGCTCAACAAGAAATCTATCAAATTATGGATGAGAATATATCTGCTCGTAATCTAGAATTAAATGTAATCTGATTTGTTTTTTGTTTTTTTTTGTCTTTGCATTTTCATTGTTTTTCTATGGTTGATTTATTTATTTTGTTTTTATTAAACAGTTTGAAGATTAATTCATGTTATGGATTAACTGAAAGCCCCCAAATGCCCTGCTGTGGCCGAGAGTGGGGAGAGTCCTCTCTCCCTCTCGAAATGCTCTCACACGGTTACGCGTATAAAGCCTCTGTCAGGGAAGTCCTACTCACTTCCTTCTCGCACTACGGGTGTTGTTTACGAAAATGAGAGGACAAAAAGCGAATGTCCGACGCTTTAACCGGATCCCAATCCAATGGTGCACATGGGCTTCAGTATCCTGAGGTAACAAATGGCGTATGAACCAATCGTTGGTTACCGGCTGGCTACCATGGGACTGCATCTCCTCACAATGCTCCACTGCCTTGTGGGTTAGACCTTTAGGTCAAAGGCTCGGGGTGTGGCCCCCTAAGAAAACCACCTGCTCCGGTCTGGGCACCCGAGCAGTATCACAGCCCACACACAAATTAAATGAGATTTTTGTGGCGCACATATACTTGGTACTCTCTTGTACCAATATTTATGTGTTCAAATAATAATAACAATTAACTGAAACACAGAAACAACTATTGACAATTGCAGTACAGATGATATTGTTCTATATGATAAAGATGGTGATATAAAACAGTTTTCTGACTGACTTCAGCAACAATGCAAGGATGTTTAGGATATGTTTCTTTCTATCTAAGTGCAAATTGTTGCTTCAGGACTGGTCTACATTCATCACCTAGATTGATCATAGGTTGGGAAGTAGTTAAGCGGGTTGATCACTGATCTTAACAGTCTCATATCCCCTGATAGGTTGACGGCTGACGACATCTTGTTATAGATTCAGAAATTTTGATTGAATTTTGCCAACTTACGTCATTTATGATGTTTGTCTGCGAACGAAGGAGCGAGTGTACTGTTCAGAACTTCGCTGTAGTTTGCTTTCTAGTTATAAAACGTTAAAAGAAAAGGTATGAGTAGACTGTGGTTTTTTGATTATAGATATCCTTCAGGCATTGATCATGTAAAGTAAAACTACTGAGAGACAATATGGAAGTTCACTCATCATCAATCAAGTCCCAAAACATAATTTTCGCAGGAAAAATATCTATCACACGTGATTATACTTTGAATGATTTTTCACACAATTCTGTTATGTGATAGAGGTAGCAACTGGTATACCCTGAACTTAAGTAGGTTACGTGCCAATCGGTACTTATCAGTGATTAGCATATACAACCTTAAAGGAACTGATACTTTTTATGAAATTTGAATTTGCATCATTTAACTTCACAAATGGAGACATCACTACTGGCAATACAGTGATTGATCTCTATAGAGCTGAAATGTATATATCTATGCTTAATAGAGTCTATTTCATATGCACAGACCAAATTGCGACACTATGGATCATCGTCGAACAATCAATTGAGTGGAATTCGTCACTATATATCAACATTGATTTTGAAAAGGCATTTGACAGTGTAGATAGGAGAACGTTATGGAAACTTCTTCGACACTACGGAGTTCCTGAGATTGTCAATTTTATCCGGAACTCATACGAGGGACTACAGTGCAAAGTAGTGCATGGAGAACAGCTGACAGATGCATTCCAAGTAAGGACCAGAGTAAGACAAGGCTATCTACTCTCTCCCTTCCTCTTTGTTCTGGTGGTCGACTAGATTATGAAGACCTCTACATGTGAAGGAAAACACAGAATACACTGGACAGCTCGGAACCAATTAGACGATTTGGACTTCGCAGATGACCTAGCCCTCCTATCGCATACACATGAACAAATGCAGATAAAGACAGCCAGTGTAGCAGCAGTCTCTACATCAGTAGGCCTGAACATACACAAGGGAAAAACCAAGGTCCCCAAATACAACACGTAGAACATCAATCCAATTACTCTTGATGGCGAAACTCTAGAAGATGTAGAATCCTTCACATACCTGGGAAGCATCATCGATGAACAAGGAGGTTCAGATGCAGACGTAAAGGCGAGGATTGGCAAAGCAAGGGCCGCATTCCTTCAATTAAAGAAAATATGGAACTCGAAACAACTGTCTGTCAACCAATATCAAAGTCAGAATCTTCAATACTAACGTCAACACAGTTCTACTGTACGGAGCTGAAACGTGGAGAACTACTACAACCACCATCAAGAAGGTACAAGTATTTATCAGTAGCTGTCTACGCAAGATACTCAACACTCATTGGCCGAATACCATCAGCAACAGCCTTCTGTGGGAGAGGACAAACCAACTTTTAGGTGAAGAGGAAATTAGGAAAAGACGATGGAAATGGATAGGATATACATTGAGGAAATCATCAAACTGCATCACAAGGCAAGCCCCAACTTGGAATCCTGAAGGGAAGCGGAAAAGTGGAAGGCCAAAGAACACATTACGTCGGAAAATAGAATCAGATATGAAAGGAATGAATAAGAACTGGAAAGAGTTGGAAAGTATTGCCCAGGACAGGGTTGGATGGAGAATGCTGGTGAGCGGCCTATGCTCTTTCACGAGGAGTAACAGGGATAAGTAAGTAATAGAGTCTATTTCATGTCTCTTCATAATTGTTTTTTAAAATCTTTATTTATTTTTGCAAAATTTTCATTTTGTCCCCTTTCTTTTTCTTTGTTTCCAGTTGGAAATTGATAATTTAAAACAATTGAATGATTATCTTGAATTAGTGATAAGTCAAAAACAATCTGAACTAAACCAAAAACGACAAGGTAAATATCGATTGAATTTATTGTTTCTTTTTAAATAAGAAAAGTACACTATAAATACTATTTTTAGTAAATCTTTGGATGTTACCACTTAATGTTATTAAGTAAGAAACTTTAAATGGTTAACTTACTTATTTACGCCTGTTACTCCCAATGGAGCATAGGCTGCTGACCAGCATTCTCCAATCCACTCTGTCCTGGGCCTTCCTTTTCAGGTCTATCCAATTTTTTTCATTTTTCTCATATCTGTCTCCACTTCTCGGTGTAATGTATTCTTTGGTCTTCCTCTTTTCCTTTGGCTTTGATGATCCCATGTGAAGGCTTGCCTTGTGACGTAGTTGGGTGCTTTCCTCAATATGTGTCCTATCCACTTCCAGCAAGTCTTCCTGATTTTTCCTCCGCTGGAAATATTACTGTTATATAATTCTTAACTTCAATCCGTTATCAGTCATGTGAAACGTAGAACCTGACACGTACTTATATCGATTTAATCTACTATGTCATATTAACACAGGGAGATGAAATTATTTCTAGACAAATCCCAGAGTATTAGGAGGAATAACAGTATCGGTGGTAGTAGCAGAAGTAGTAGTAATAATAATAATAAATATTAAGTATACAGAAAGACATATACGATTTGTAGGCTCAGATTTTAAAGGAAGATAAAAAGTGAACGGATCTGCTCCATTGGAGACGGCTATTTTAGTTATGTCACCGAAATTCTCTAGATATTGATTGTAATATTTACTCTGACCTTAACTAAGTAGTCTGCACCTACCTACATGGCTCAGTCTAACAGTCAATATCTCCATGGACTGGTGCTACGTCTTTTTAACTTCACGTTTAATTCCAAAATATGGATATTTGATATGTATAATGATGCGGTAGTTGGGATATATATTACGTAATTCTAACCACCTCCTACCTTGACCCACGTTAATAATAATAATAAATATGTGGAGTAGAAGTGGGTTGGAGGAAAGCTAAAAGGAACTAAACTTAGACATGCTATCAGTTCATAAAGACATTAACTATTGTGTTAAGCCATGCATGTTGGTGAATACATAACACGTTACATTTATTGTGCACATTTCAATTCGTCCTAGTGTAACACGAGCTATTATCATCCAGTTGTCACATCTACTTCACTCCTAGCATTGTTAAACTCACTGGAACTTCAGAAATTCTTGACTTTTCGCTCTTATATTGTCTAAATATTGTCTAATCGATTAGTAATGAGGAGACTCATTGAATCTTTTAGTATTCAAGATGATTTTTGAACATTACTTCTTTTCATAGATAATATTTCAGTTATACAATTATTATTAATAACACATTATGTACACCATAGAAACGATAGAAAATATAAGAAATTTGAATTATATAATTATCAACAAATTCCACCTTCGTACTTGTTGAGGCCTTAACGCTAGAGATGGATGTCCGTTAGATAAGTCGAGGTGTGCATTTTTAGGGTCAATCTTTTCTAACCCCACCCTTCCTTTGTCAGAGGGCGGAATCGCTGTTATCCTGGTTATCTGAGGAAAACACATTACTGTTGTCACACTTTTGTACAATCAGCAGTACGACTTCGTCCTTGGACCTTGGGTTTGCTGCTTTTGGCTTTACCGTTCTTTAACCGACCTGCCTGATTAGCATGGTAGGGCCTTGATGAACGATTGTTCCAGCCGGTATATCCCAGTCGGTCCATGGCGATAAGCAAGCTCGAGCATCACGTCAAGGCAGCTGCAACGGTCGTGTCTAAACATGTAAATTAAGTGTTCCGTGTTAAAGTACAACAAGTTATTTATAGCTGTTGTCGGTTGTAAATTGTATTATTTTTTTATATACAAAGTGTTAATTCTCAATGAATCATTATAGTTTACTCAGGTACATATAACTAGATGTAATCATATTTTTACATTCATTGTAAACCGTATTTTTGTTTCCATTTTGAAATTCATTTGAAGATCAGATCAGTTTTAGTTTCCAATTACTCATATAACTATTGGTTTGTATACATATATATTTATGCAAGGGGTTCACATAAGATTATCGTAACCAATGGTTAAAGACTTTGAGTGAAATGGCTCAAAATCATTTTTATATTATCTTCTGGTTGTCTTATCTTTTCTGTGAATACTGTTGCTACCTCTACGCCAAGATTTATCTTGACAATTTCATCTTGTTGTGCCAATGGGATTTAGCAACTTGAACTGACCTACATGTGTGCTAGGTTCTTTGTTATATTCGAGTGATTAACTGATTAGTATATAAAATGAATATAGGTTAACAACATTAATTTTAATACTACTAGTACATTATAAACTTCCGAAAACACTATACTGAAGATTCAAAACTTTTTCTCTTCTGATTTACTTCTGTTTAAACAGTCGATTTCTATATGATTAATTCTTAAAAAAATTTAAGTTTCGAGTGGTAGTACATGTGAACAGTCAGTCAGCTGCAACGTAGGACCAGGCACATATATGCATCGGTCCAAATTGCCATACCGCATCAGCACAACAAGATGAACACCGGATTCATAGAAGTAGTTAATACAGTGGTGGTAATATATAGAAGAAAGATTGCATGTAAGGAGATAGTACAGAAAGAAAGAATTAGTTCGTAGAAAGAAAGACATGAAGCGATTTTAATCTCTTAGTTTAAAGGAAGACAGAGAGTGTACACATCGACGCCATTGTGGTCGATTGTGAGCCATGTCACAAAGAGTCTCCAACCATTGGTTACGATAGTCACGCGAACCCCAACCAAGTAGTCTGCATTTACCAACATGGCTGAGACCAGAAGTTAGTGACTTTGTAGACTGATGCCACGTTTTGGTTTGGCCGCCCCTAACTTTCTTCCAATTATCCCTAACACCGGTTAGCATTTCGCGTCGTGGTAATCGGTGTTCAGGCATACGTAACACGTGGCCCAACCATCTTAGTCGATGATGATTCATAACCTCTAACCCAATTTCCTTTTCACGTACCTCCAGGAGAACCCTTCCACGGTGTGGGCAACCTGGAAGTGATAACCGCCCTCATACCTCTAACAGCACTCAAGACCCCTGTACATGTGAACACGCTTACTTGTATTTTCTAAGTTTGATTATTTACCTCCCCTCTACATATACCCATATACCTGGTATATATCATTATTCTCATTGATCTTCTGATGTATTAACGTTTAAATGCACTAAAATTTTTTAAAATTATTATTTAATATTCTAGAGCGGGAACAATTATTAGAACTCGAAACGTATGCCAAAGAAGTAATTCAAAGTGAGTTGAAATGATATATATCTGTATTGAAGCATTTCAAAAGTTACAGAAAATCCTATATTACTTTATTCTGAATCAAGGAATATACTACACTCAAAACATGAAAGAACTATTGCCTTAATATAATCGTTGAATTGTTTATAGTTAGAAAGATGTGTTTTAGAATTAAATTAGTAATCCCCTTTTATTTGACAACTATTACCTACTTACATTGGGAATCAGTGGGAAAATTGAACTACATGACATCGATACTCATCAAATTAGTAGTACATACAACGATAAACAACCAAATAGACTATTAGTTACGTCTTAATCTGGTCAATAGACTTGAATCAGCATTGAGGATTATATAAATATGTGGTAGGTTACTACTCAGTGATTGATCAACGCTTTTATATTGTTATTATTTTATTTTTACATAAACGTCATGTTTCGATAATAGCGACTAAATTAGTGGAGGTTGGTTGAAGAGAAATTCTACTTACAAACGATTGAGGTTTCTTCTAATATGATTCAATTAATGGAAACTAGGATAAACTAAACGTGTCACACAACAATACTTCAACATTGTTAATCCACAACCTAATAGGAATAGGGGAGATGAGACTGTCAAGACAACTTTAAATTCCGTGAGGATTTAGAAATTCAAAATCTACTCTGGCTATACAACAGTTAGCAAGCTAAAAGTAACAACAACCAATTAGGTAACCATTGTATGTTATCGTTTGAAGAAAAAACTAACATATAGCAACAAAAAACTGGATAATCTAATTTCTTCTTAGCAGTGAAATAAATAGGCAGTTCCAAAGCCCTCTATCTAATTAATAAACATGCACATGGTTTTTGCGAATTACATACATACATGGTTTTCTCATCGTTTACATCATGGATCTACGTTTAGATAGTCAATTATTGAAAACCGCATCTAGAGCAATAGACACCAGTTTCATCCTAGGTTTTAAAACTCATCATCAGTATGCACTGATGATGATGCACAAATGATTGGTTTAAATAAATAACCAATCACTATTCGCGTTTACAGTATCAACTAGTTTTCTTAACATTTTCATTCTTCTTTCCATTGTAATCTTTCTTCTAATCTTTAATTATTATTCTCTTAGAACTCAATAGAATCAAACAAGAAATTGATGAAACTACTCAACGTCAGATTGTAATACGTCAATCAAATAAAAAGTTATTCCAAAGAAAACAATACTTGGAAACAAAGTTGAAAGAATTATTAGAAAAAAATCGTCAAGAGGAATTGTATAATTCAAGCACTATGCTTAATCGTTCTGTCGGTTGTACAGAATTATTTCCTATACCGATCAATGAAACATCCATTATTCAACATTGCAATAATAATGATAGGAGCAAACTTGAACCAATAATCACGAGACAAGTAATAAATTTGTAAGTTTCTGTTTACTATTGTCTCATTATACCTCAAACTTATGTAAGTTAGAAATGTTGTAGTCTATTGGTTAAGTGCTTCCCATCATATCTAAAGGTCTGGGGTTTCGATATCTATCAGGGTTTTGGGTATTCACCTCTGTGGAAACCCGTTCTAGGACGACATAATTGTCTACGGTACACTTTGATTTTCAGTAATACTTCAGCAGAGGTCAATCTAAGACAAAAACTACTTACATGTATAGTTATTTGTACAGGGCTTAAAGCGTACTTGAATTTAAACCGTGTCATAATTTCTTATCTGTGTTGTCGGGCTTTTGTAAATCATGTCTATAAAAGATTATTTTAATTTAGTGAATCTGTATCTTGGTAGTAAGACAGTTACGATTGGGTTGTGCTCGAACAAATTCCATAAATTAAAATTTTGGAAATCTAATGAATGATCAAACTGACATTTTACTTTATTCGATTCATTCCCAAATTTAAATAAGACTTTAGACATTAACGTAAATATGTTTCAAAGCAAATAGGAAGTGAATTTAATTTAGCAAAAGTATGTCAGTGTATACATAAACTTCAAACAGAAACATTTTGGTTTTCTTAGCTTATCAACTTCCTTTGATTGGATGCAGAATAATATGAATTCTTATTTATTTATTTATTTTAACACATAGATATTGGTACAAGGAGGCACCAATTAAATATGCGCCACAAAAATCTCATTTGATTTGCGTGAGGGCTGTGATACTGCCCGGGTGCCCAAACCAAAGCAGGTGGTTTTCTTAGGGGGCCACGCCCCGAGCCATCGACCTAAAGGTCTGACCCACAAGGCAGTGGAGCATTGTAAGGAGATACAGTCCCATGGTAGCCGATGACCAACGATTGTTTCATACGCTATTTGTTCCTTCAGGATCGTGGAGTCAGCCCATGTGCACCATTGATTTGAGATCCGGTTAAAGCGTCGGACATTCGGTTTTCGTCCTCTCATTTTCGTAAACAACACCCGTAGTGCGAGAAGGAAGTGAGTAGAACTTCCCTGACAGAGGCTATATAAGAGCATTTGGAGAGGGAGAGCGGACTCTCCCCACTCTCGGCCTTACCAGGGCATTTGGGAGCATTAGTTATCTACCTCTGAACCTGACTTAACTAATGTATTACGCACCCATTTTATTTTTTGGTTTCCAACACCAAATGACCGCCGACCTGTCCTCTCACATACATATAGAAGGTTATTATTGATAACCTTTGTCATTTCAATTCCTTTCATTGATCTGTGTCGATTGTTTCACATTACATCTTACCTAATTGTAAACTTCCAATACCTATATTGTTGTTAGCAGCTGATGAGGAACTACGTATTACAATGAATTCATGTTATTCTGTATCCATGTTTGTTCTGGCTTTATTTTAATTCATAAAAGGAATCAATTGCATTAAATTCTCCTGACTAGTTGAAAATTAACCATTCAGCTTACTCCAATTTTAACCTGTACGAAAGATGCGTTAATCAAGTGTCTGTTCTACTAACACCTTCCGTCTGAGCATATTCGTAGGATCCGTTGTTACAGTTCGCTTTGATCAAAATAAATGGTCTGGTCTTCCTATCTGTTCACCTTCTAGGCAATAAAGAGTTATTTTTTGTCTTTTCAGTAACTGGCCTGACTTTGTCTAGCCTTGACCTCGAATGTGCCTTACAATGTCTGAGGATATTGCACATCAGTTCTTGTTGGTGCTAATCGAAGGCATTTTTAGTTATATTAGGCGGTGCACCTGGATTTCTGAACCTACTGACACTTCATGACGGTTATTTCCATTTCTTTCCATATTTCAATGGAATATCTATGTTAAGAGTGCTTACTGATTGTCTGTAACAAATATCTCCTAATTCTTAGTAAGCAATCATCTTTCTTCTCCATGGTATCAATTAAGTTTCTTCTCGAATAATCTGTTTCATTTGGACTCAAGTCCTGGGACCGGATAACTAGCTTCGGTAGATGTACGTAATTTTCAGCCAAGTAAAGTTTCTTGAGGGGGGACCCCATTAGCTGTTTGGTGACTTAGTTCAGTACGTCAGTTGAGCATAAGACTCCGTGAAATCGCTTCGATGATCCTCTTTCCTTTCAAATTGCTCATAGGGTTTTTCGAATATACCAACAAAATGTTCGACTTGAACGTCAGATTGAGTATTTAGACATAGTTAATTCCATTCTGTCAATCAAATTCTGATAGTGACAGACAAGAACTGTATTCCATTATCGCTAATTATTATCTTCAAATGACATTCCAACTTGGTTTCTGTATGTTACATGATTCAGTGAAGAATAAATCCACTGATGCTTTTGCAACGGATCATAAATTGCTTCATCTTAGGTTCTCTAATTCTGACCACAAAAATCTACGACTTCTGTTTAAAAGTCAATCACTTCATGAAATGATGACATCACATCTTGATCAGGCTATCAAATCAGAATATCAGTTAAGTTTTCGTTCTTTTTTTTTTAAATAAAGGAACATTTCTTTAAACAAATATATTCTTATTGTTTGTCTAATAGATTTTCACCTTGTCGTATAACATGTACATCGTTTGAAACAGATAACCATATATATGAAGTATCAACATTATTTGGTCTAGTGAATTTCTTATTAACTTGTCAAGTATGCAATCTGTTAGTTGATGACACTGATAGAAAGAATAACAATAATCATCAATGTATTGAAAACATTGACGGTAATGATGACGATGAAGAAGAAGATGATGATGATGATGACGATATTCAGATAACAGTTAATCCGGAAAATTTGAAAGTGATCAGTGTGCAAGTTATCGCACCAACAGATGGTATGTTGTATTGTTTGGTTATTGTAATGTTGTGAGAACTTCCTTTAACATATTTTTCCATTGTTAGATCTAAATTTCACTAAGATTCAATCTCCGTGTGGAACCTTATTATCAGTTGTAAAAGTTCATTTTGTTTTAGCGATGTCATTTACTTAGTACCACCAATTTGTCTAAGATAACTTACAACATACCTAGTAATGATTACTTACTTACGCCTGTTACTCCCAATGGAGCATAGGCCGCCGACCAGCATTCTCCAACCCACTCTGTCCTGGGCCTTCTTTTCTAGTTCCATCCAATTCTTGTTCATTTTTCTCATATCTATCTCCATTTCCCGGCGTAATGTATTCTTTGGTCTTCCTCTCCTCCTTCGACCTTGAGGATTCCATATGAGGGCTTGTCTTGTGACGCAGTTCGGTGCTTTCCTCAATGTGTGTCCTATCCACTTCCAGCGCTTCTTCCTGATTTCTTTCTCCACTGGGATCTGATTTGTTCTCTCCCACAGTAGGTTGTTGCTTATAGTGTCCGGCCAGCGGATCTGAAGTATTTTGCGTAGACAACTGTTAATAAACACCTGTATCTTTTGGACGATGGATTTCGTAGTTTTCCAGGTTTCCGCCCCATACAGTAGAACTGTCTTGACATTTGTATTGAAAATTCTGACTTTGGTGTTGGTTGCCAATTGTTTTGAGTTCCAGATATTCTTCAGCTGTAAATATGCTGCTCTTGCTTTGCCAATCCGTGCATTCACATCTGCATCAGATCCACCGTGTTCATCGATGATACTGCCCAAATATGTAAAGGTTTGTACATCTTCCAAATCTTCTCCGTCAATTGTGATCGGATTGGTGCATGCTGTGTTGTATCGAAGAATCTTGCTTTTCCCTTTGTGTATATTGAGACCTATTGCTGCTGAGGCTGCAGCTACACTGGTTGTCTTCTCCTGTATTTGTTGTTGCGTATGCGATAGATGAGCCAGATCATCTGCGAAGTCTAGATCATCCAATTGCATCATAGCTATCCACTGTATCCCGTGCTTCCCTTCAGACGTTGATGTCTTCATGATCCAGGAGAAAGAGAAAGGGTGAGAGTAAGCAACCTTGCTTGACACCGGTCTTTACTTCGAACGACTTTGTCAACTGTCCTCCATGCACGATTTTGCAGTTTAATCCATCATAGGAATTCTGTATGATATTGACTATCTTCTGAGGCACGCCGTAGTGTCGAAGAAGCTTCCATAGGGTTGTTCTGTCCACGCTATCAAATGCTTTTTCGTAGTCGATGAAGTTGATATAGAGTGATGAATTCCATTCAATTGATTGTTCCACAATGATCCGTAGAGTTGCGATTTGGTCTGTGCACGATCTATCCTTACGGAATCCTGCCTGTTGGTCTCGAAGTTGGGCGTCTACGGAGTCCTTCATCCTGTTTAACAATACCCTGTTAAAGACTTTTCCTGGTATTAAAAGAAGAGTGATTCCCCTGTAGTTGTCACAGTTGCTGAGATCGCCTTTCTTTGGTATTTTGACTTAGTAATGATAGGCCGTACCAATTATTTATAACACTTACTTACCCTTCTTAAGACATAGGCCGCCAACCAGGGATGTACATCCAGCTATGTCGTAAGCTTTCCGATCTAGTTTTACCCAAATACTATTCATGGTCTTTATCCCTGCCTCCAATTTTCTTCGTTATGTATTCTTTGATCTTCCTGCTTTTCTTATACCTTGAGGATTCGAAGTTAGGACTTGTTTTCTGTAAAACTGTGTCCTGTCCACCTCCAATGTCTTTTCTTGATCCTCTCCTCAGCTGGTAGTTGCTTTATTCTTTTCCAACGTAGGTTATTGCTGTTTTTCTCTGATCAATCGATCTGAGGTACTTTGCATATATAGGTTATAAATTACTGTACGTTTTAGTGAGACATCCGTACAATAGAACTAACTGTCTTAGTGTTAATGCTGAAAAACTTGACTCTGATCTTCGGTACTCGTTAGAAGCATTCCTGTTATTTTGAGGAAATGAGCGCTGAAATGCACGAAAGCAAGGTTCAAAGTTTTTTTGTTGACTGTTTCCAACCATCATCCAACTCATCATAGTGCACGTAATGTCGGTTCAATTAGACTAGTGTCTGGATTCCAGCTTCATCTATTAAATTTGATCAGAAATAAAGACCGGGCAAACGTAACTTTAGTAACTGCTCATTAAACAATCAGCTGTAAACATCTCTGTCCTACAGTTCACTCGTAGCTGGAATCGCGTAGTAGTAAGTAACTTCTCAGACTGCGACGGTGGATTGAGTCTACCATGAGGAGTCAGTTTCTTGATGATTAAAGATGTACCTCGCTGATGAGTGCAGAAAAGCACAAAATCTGTGCCCTGGATACCTTATTGACTACCTTCAACCACCTAATATGTTCTTATTCTGGTGTTATGAACAGGGATATAGAGAACTTGCGTGTCAATGTTTTGTACGGGCGTTTCCAAATATCCATTTTTCTCTTCATGTGGTGGCATAGTACGGTTTCATGCGATGATTTCTATCTGTGATCAGATTTATCAATTTCACTGAGGTTTATCAGCAAAAGTATTAGTCTTGTTTCAACACATTGAAAAAAAATCATGAATACTGACCAATAATCAAACACTCATTCTTATAAGTATACAGCAAAGAAGTCCTCCCTAACATCATCCGAAATGAGTGATTACTCATAAGATGTTTGTATTCTTTTTGGGTTGTGAATCAATTTTTCATTTATCAGAATCCTACTTAGTCATTTCTAAAAACGATTCATTTCAGCAACTTCGTTAAATATGACATTAGTTCAAAATTGTCTAGTCGGTTGAATAACTAAAAACAGGCAATTTTAAAGTCTGTAGGTCGATTCATACTTCAGATTGTATTTAAATATAGCTTATTATGAAGTTGTTTCCCTCGAATAACTAGCATTTTCAACGATATTATCTTCCCATAACCAAACAATGAGTTAAAAAGAAGAGACCTTAATAATAATATCACACCTCACCTTATTTATAAGATATCTTGTGTTGATGATATTGCTGTAAGAGTTTGACTCTAACAACTCAAAGGCTTCGAGAAGCTGATCTTTAAATATTGCGGTCACGATTTCAAGTCTTCAAGATCACTTAGTTGTTCATTTTCATTTTCAAACTCTGAGCAGAAATATAGTTTTATGATGTGACAATCGAAAATTTTCAACTATCCATAGATCTTCAACAAAAGTTAACTTAATCTTGTTAACTTGGAGTAAGGAACAATGATAACCTTCATTTAATTTAAGCTTAATATAGAATTCAGAAGGCTCGGTCGGCTTTTTCCAACATGCGTCGCTTGTGGTGTAGGCGAGATATCCATTTGCCAACCAAATGACTAGTTTACTGCTCAGCAGGACTCAACGTCCTACTTTATGGATGTGAAACGGACATTAAGGATAGAGGATATTTGTAGATTGCTGGTATTCGATCAAAGGTGTCTTCGAAGCATTGCTCGTATATTTTTGGACCACAGAGTAAACAATGCCTGGGTTAGGAAAAGAGTACCAGCCAAATATGGTAAATCGACTGACGAGGTAGCTAATCTTCCTCAACTTAGATAGTTGGGACATGTGTTACATATACCTAACCACCACCTAGCTCGACGAACAGTTTTCTGGTGCAGGAGTGGATTGTAAGGGAGAGGATCGAACCAATATATAGCATCAGTCCATGAAGTCACTCACAGTTTGACTTAGCCATGTTAATAGGTTCAGACTACCTGGTTGGGGTCCACGTGATTGTTGTAGGCATTGGTTACAGTCTTTAAATGATATAACTTAAAATCATTTACAATGGCGCAAATGCGTCCATTTTTCCTATACCTTCAATTTCTGAGCTTCTGAATTCTTCATAACTTTTTTTGTGTTTTTATCTCACCAATTTATATTTTCTTTTCGAGTCGTATCTTCCATGCCTAACATTTCTCATTACCATTGATACTGTTACTACACATACTATTCTGGGATTTGGCTTGACAATTTCATCTCTCTGTATTAATGGGATGTGGCAGTTTAAACCAATGTTTTTACGTACCAGGTTATACGTTAACTGACTAACTGACCAATATAGGCTTTAAAAGTATATAGACCTACGACTTTTCCAAAGGAACACTAATATCGTGTCTTAAATTATTACTGTACGTGATGTTTTTGTTCTACTAACCATAATAACTTAGCTTATCCTTTTGTGTGTTCATTGTCTGTTTTATCATTTAATTTGAATTAGTTGAATGTCCCGTTGAGTGTCCGCCAGTTGAATCGGTTGCTCGTATTTTTATTGAATATTTAAATACAGTTGGATATGATAGTTTACGTACACGATGTATTGGGTTTACAATGGCTGATGTAATTGAAGTGAGTTTATATTTTTTTTCTAAATCTCTTGTGTAATTTGTGAGTAAAATATAGGTATAATTTAAGTTGATAATTTGTTGGCAACATGAAGCGAAAGATACTTGTTTCGAGTCTCGGTATTGAGGTCAATAACACCCGAATGAAAGTACATTTAACTGACGAACCCCGAATAAATCAAAGCACACATCCTATGTTCCACTGATAACCACACACTAAATATTCTAAACCTATACGGAGGCTATTGGCTTAAGATCCTCATAATACAACAGCAATTAATCAATCAATACTCTTGAATATTAACAGCGGAAAATTATAAAACGTTGGTGCAATTTAAGTTAAGCCTCAAAACAATGTAAAACTCATTTACTATGTACAGGTTTATGTAGTTCGCTTCGAGTAACATGTTTTTTTTTTCATATATGATTATCAAAGTCGTTGTAGATGGAGCGATAAAGTTGAAATTTATGATATATTGGTGGTTGTAAGCCGGATGTTTTCATCAACGAACCATCTCTCTATTTAAACCACTGAGTTAAGGATAGCTGTATCGATTGTCGAATTTTGAAGCTAATTAGTTTGTGCAGGACGTGGTAACTTGAAATGAATCAAATATGTTGTCAATATTTTACCAGGTTGATATCACCTCATAATGTAAAATGAGCGATTAATATTTAAATTTATAGTAGGTAAATGTCTATGACAGTTTCTAACATGGAGTGTACATATATATAGGTTACATCTTTTTCATGAATAACGGCACATAATGATTTTTCAATGGATGTATAACTACTAATGTCATTTAGAGATAATATTCATTTAAATGTCTAGAAAGATTGCTAACTTATTCGCATTCATTTTAATAGTGTTTCATTTTCTACATTTAATTGTTCTCTACCTAATGTGATAAATATATATCTCAGAAATTATCATTATTATATTGAAACCCTACCAGTATCTATTGCTGATCTAAGTCAACATCACCATTTCATTACATTTTAATTTAGATTAAAGGAATACAGCAGACAAAACGAACTTCATGTTCATCAACACATACATTAGTACATAACAACAAAATGAAATTGAGTTATATGTTATCATACTCATATATATATATATATATATATATATATATATATATATATATATATATATATATATATATATATATATATATATATAATATATATATATATATATTATTGAAAAACGGGCAACTATGAGCACTTTATCGGCTTAAGAAAATGTCTATATTGTAGATTAAGTGAAGTTTAAGGATTTCAGTGTATTTCTAAACTCATGATATTATATATTCTTAATTTAATGCCTGTCTATATTTATTAACTTTCTGATTATTTCAAGACAATTGAAACTATCATTGTTCCGTTCATGGTTTTGGCCAGTGATTTACGTTGTTTATGGTTAGCTAAATGTGATGTAAATCTTGTTATGAAATCAATAGATGATCAATTATTCACTGGTTGTTATTTTACACCAAAGAAATTACGTAATTTAATTGGACAAACACCACGATCTACAACTGTTCAATCTTTGTCATCTTCACATAGAACACCATTTCATACAAATCAATTACATCATCAATCGATCATTGGTGAAAGTATGATACCTGTTGAAAAGTCATTATCGTTCTATGAATATTTAACACCATGTGAACCATTTAGGTAAAAGAAAAGTTCTTATTCGTTTCATAATTACACATGTACACCTTTTCTATGTAGTTCAGATAGAAACTTGAAACTTAAGGTGATAAGCAATCTTAAAAACAATCAATTCTTTATAGTAATCAAAGACCAAAATAGTTGTTTAAGACAATTTATATAAACTTCAGATAGACTTCTATCTGAAGTTTGTGCTGATGATGTCGTTCAGATGAACGATGAAAGCTCCACGACCAAGCCATCCAGCACAGAGAACAAAACTCCATCAAAATCATCCACCTGAGCTACAAATCTTCACCATCTCACAATTTATATGAGGACAACCATCCTTTTTTTCAATGATTAAAAGAATGTACAGTATCTAGCAATTTCCAGGATGTTTTTTTTTTACTAATTTAGTTAGTAAGTAATAAAGAAATGAGCATATTTTTCACTGGAGACCTCATTTCAATCATCTTAAACTGTCTACACATGTCTTTTATGCACATTCCACTGTAGCTCATTCCAACTTGATGAATGAAAAAAGGAAAATAGAATGAAAGTTAGAAGTTGTAGTGAAATTCCACAGTAAAAATCGTGCTCTTATATGTAGAGTATACTCACTTATTGAACGAATGAAAATGCCCAAAACTGCGCAGTTATTGTATTTGAATCAGTAGATGTATTACCGATTCATGGACACAGCCTATTTAAAATCAAATATGTGTTAATCAGTAGGAGAACAGTCCATCCGCTAATAGTTAATTTTACCGATAAATTCTCATTATTCCTTACCAATAGGACGAAACGACCGTCCAGTGCTTCCAGGTTTTCAATGGTGGTCTAACATCAATCGGTTCATGATCTCAATCAAAATCTGGACAATCTCCACAACACCTAAATTGATAAATAGTCTTTTTGTTACACAAAAATTTCACAGAGAATGTAAAGTAGGTTAATTCCTATCCGACTTCATGATTTAGATTTCATGACACTGAAAAGTGTGTACATTGACGGATTACTAAATAGTGGTCAATATCGCCCCCAAATGCCCTGGTACGGCGGAGGGTGGGAAGAGTCATCTCTCCTCGAAATGCTCTCACATAACCACGCGTATACAGCCACCAACAACGAAATCTCACTCACTGCCCTTTCATGGTGGTGTTGTTTACGAAATTGAGAGGATAAAAAGTGAATGTCCGGCGCTTTAACCGGGTTAATAGAAACGAAGAGTCCACTTTGGGGAGTTGGAAAACCCTCGTTCCAAACCAATGGTGCACATGGGCCTCAGCACACTGAGGGAACAAATGGCATAGGAACCAATCGTTGGTCACCGGCTGGCTACCATGGGACTGCATCTCCTCACGATGCTCCACTGCCTTGTGGATCAGACCTTTAGGTCAAAGGCTCGGGGTGTGGTCCCCTAAGAAAGCCAACCGCTTCGGTATGTGCACGTGGTCACTATTACAGCCCACACATAAATCAAGTTCATTCTGTGGCGCATATATATTCGCTACCCCTTTGTACTAGTATTTATGTGTTCAAATAAATAAATAAATAGTGGTCAATATCATATCTTTCTATTGCTTAATGTAAACCGAATTCGTTAATGAAGTTGCAGTTTAAACACTCAACTAAGTGATTCAATATCGCTTGAACAATGTTTTAATTGACATTGGTTGGACTGCCGATTATCTAACAGGTTATTGTGTATAATTTGAAGCAACTCAATTTGATGGTGTCATTATGGCTATCAATTTCAAGATTATTGATCAACTCATTCATATCCTGATGAATTAGAATGGTTATTTTGCAAACATTTAATTACTAGCTAGACAGATTACTTTTGCTCTATTGTACATGTATATGCAGTTCTGTTTTGATAACCCTTTGAACATACTTTCTCTCTCCCATCCTTATGCTTTTTCTCATGGTTTCATTTTTTTTATTAGCATAACTGTAAAATTTTCTACACGTAACTATCGTATAATGGTACGATTCACTTTAATGTCATTGGATTACATGGATTCCAATCAAGGCTCCGTTGAATTTGAAGTTTTAAGAGGAAACTTAAGGTAGATATGTGTGTGTTTTATTTCAGTAAATATTTTTAAGTATCACTTTTTCCTTAAATTTACTGGAGTATTTTTATGCCTAACCCTAGACCCTATTTGAATCAGATTTGTTATAAAGAAACTTAGGTGTATACTGTCTTGTTTGTAATCATTTGTGTACAATTGACCACAAACTATATTACTATTGTTGATTTATTGAATGACTTGTGTTTCTGTAAACAAATTGAATGAATAGTGTGATGACATGATCCTAGAATACAAGGTATATATAACAAATTGATTGATGAAGCGGTGAGATTATAATTTATGGACAAATCAATCAGATGTAAGATAACAAGTCTTGGGTTATTGGCGCTTAATTCGTTCATACATTTGGCTAGGTAGAGTTTTCAAGGTCAATTTAACGTCGCTCAAAGGTCGTCCATAAATTATACTCCCACCGATGAAGCTATTTAATTAATCGAGCGAGATGTGTGGGTTCAATTATCTCAGTAAATGCATATTCTGTACAGTGATTATGATCATTAGTTGAAGTGACATGACATCGGTTACAATAGCACAATTTCATACATTATTTACGTATTTCTTGCTTTGAACTGCTACAAATAAATTGTAATATCAATCATATAGCACCCATATGTAATTGATCTCTTTCCTTAATGATTACTCTTTTTAGTCTCATTAAAACTTTCTCTTGAAAAGTTCAGTCTTACCTCTCTTTTCATGTGTGCAACTGTGTCATCGTTGACATATGGTTGTTTATTAGTAGTTGAACCTATCTAGTCACGTTAGATCCATACACCAGCAATAAAACACAACAACAGATTACAGTCAATGTGATTCGATTTGTGTAATAATATTGTAACTTACATTTATCAAGTACGTGTTTGTACTATCGACTGTAAGGACTAATGACATTGCACAACAACTCACATATGTGGCATGGTTTTGGAACCTCTTACCCAATACTAATAATAGTTCATATTTCTTAATTATTGTGATATTCATGATTGTAATTGACCAATTTCTATTTCTATACATACATCCTGAGAACATTACCTCAATATTTCCATTTCGTAACAAGTTTTTATTAAAGTTTTTTATTAGCTACCAGTGGAATCTAGAACGAGCGTTTTGTTCTATATTGGACTTGTTATTTGGATGTTGCCATATATTCATGATATTTACATCCACTCTTATCGATTACTTCTTGTTCTGAACAGCTACGTGTTATTCAATGAGTTTAGCAAGGAAATACAAACTCTTAAAAATAAACCTCGATACCTGATAGGTAAACTAGTAAGTATCTGAACTCAGTAGCTTTAGTGGATAACGTGTTGGAGTTTAAATGAAATCCTAGTTTGAATATCAATACCGGGAATTAAGCACACCTAGCTGATGAAATCTCAAGTAGGACAAAACGTGCATTCTGAATTTTACACATAGTCACTGTTTAAATGTCATAAAATTCACAAACCAACGAATGAATCCGTAGGCTATTTTTTCTCATTCTTGTCGTGTAGGATCAATATTCTACAGGGAATCTGTGAGTAGTCATGTGAATTGGTTATGTAATATTACAAACAGTATTATTATTTATTGAGATCATGGACCGATTGATGTTAGACCACCATTGAAAACCTGGAAGCACTAGACGGCCGTTTCGTCCTATTGTGGGACTGCTCAGCAGTGCGCATGCACGATCCCGCTCGCGGGATTCCAACCCAGGGCCTTCAGTCTCGCGCGCGAACGCTTAACCTACTCGACCATTGAGCCGGCATTCAACGGTGTTAATGTCTAACCTCAACCAATCCACGAAGTGGCGCGACCATCTTCCATTGTACTGAGGTAGACACCTGCTTCTACGCGACACGGATTAGCACGAGATTGAAGGCACGTGTTTGAATTCCGCGAGCGGGATCGTGGATGCGCACAGCTGAGGAATCCCACAATAGGACGAAACGGCCGTCTAGTGCTTTCAGGTTTTCAATGGTGGTCTAACATCAATCGGTTCATGATCTCAATCAAAAACTTGACAATCGCCACAACACCTAAATTGATGAGTATTATTATCATTATCATCATCACTATTATTGATCATTCTATTTCTTTCCCTTTTTTTTTACATTATATGTATGCGTGTATACATAGAACTGAAAAACTAGAAGAATATTTTAAAACATGTAAACCAACCTGTGGAAATTTATACAGTATTATATCAAATCTTCAATTATTTCTATCATCTTCTAGATGATCTTTATTGAAATGTTTATTATTGTTACTTGATTTAGTCATTTGAATGTAATTTCTAGTTATGTGTAATATAGCTGTAATATAACTGTTTACATGATACGCTCTTTGTTGTATATATATATATGTTCATATTTATTTCAATGTATTAGGTTGTTTTCAACTTAGTACAAAACCGTTGATTTATTTATTCCCTTGTATAAACAATTTCTCTCATCTTATTGCCTGTATTTTTTTTTCTTTTTTTTTTTTGAAATGAAACTTATTACTTTACTAAAAAAAAAAATAATAAATGAATTATTTATCTATTTAACTCAGATGATCTTAGCTCAGAGAGTTTTCTTCGTGGCAGTTGGGGATGTTGTTTACGGAATTGAGAGGATGTAAAGCGAATATCTGGCGATTTAACAGGGTTGGTGGACATGGAGATTGCACTTAGGGGAGTTGGAAAACTCTGATTACAAATCAATGGTGTACATGGGCTCTAGTATCCTGTGGGAACAAATGGCGTATGAACCAATCGTTGGTCATTGGCTGCCTTGTGGATTAGACTTTAAGTTCAAAGTGCTCGAGTGTGACTCCCCAAGAAAACCACCTGCTTTGGTTTGGGCACCCGGGCAGTATCATAGCCTTCACACAAATCAAATGAGATTTTTGTGGCGCATATTTAATTGGGGCCCCCTTATACCAGTATTTATATGTTTAAATAAAATAAAATAATCTATTAAACTCACTAAGAGGTATAGATTTGTATCGTGCTATACGGTCTAGGTGTTTGAAGGTTGGTGGTGGTATCCATTTGGCTAAACCGGTATAGGTTTAACAGGGTTTGAGCCATCGACTCGGTCGCTGAAAGTCAAATGTTGGAAGTAATTTAAATCACAATATGGTTTTAGCTAAATAACTAGTGATAAGAAGTTATTCGAAACATATCTGAGTTGGCAAAATGTTATCGGCCGATATAAGATGTTCAATTACGTTACTACAGGCGGCAACTCTGGGTTATATTTTATGTAACTGCACGTGAATTACATCAATGAAGGTTTGCATAGTCTAAAGACGTTCCCAAATTACAGTGTTTTCACATCATGTAATCTACGTAGTTTAGTGGTATCAAGTGTGTTATCTACTGCATTCTTGTATCTCATCTTCCGAAATTACTATTTATGAAAAACAAAAAATAGTTGAATATGTCGCGAAACTAGAAAAATATGTCAGAATCGGACCAAATAATCTATAATTTGTTTAAACAATTCATTTGACTAATATGTAATAAAGATATTGTTGAACCAACACCAACTATAAAAGTTTGGTTGCAACAACTGTAGAACTGTTTGTTTATGGTGTAGGTTTGAAATGGTAATCGCTAGTGTTATATCTTGTGAATGTTTTCCAAAATCTCACTCGCCAGTTGTTATAACTTGTGAATCGAATACTAATTTTTTTTATATGGTCGTCGCTGATTGTTATGTCGGCATCGCTGATCACTTATACTCGGAACGAAGGGACCTCCGAAATTCCCACGACGTGAAAGTAAGAACACAAGACTGGTATAAGCGAAGATTTATTAACCCCAAAACATGACCACGACGACGACCCTAGTCGAAAATACACTCATTTATATAGTGATTGTACACCCATTTTGAATAATAATTAGAATGAAATCACATATATGGAAAATACTTAGAGTTATAACAAATCAGATACTGAGTATAGTTCATGTCCATTGGATACAAGAATATCGTAGATTTTACAGAATAAAATGTAATACGAGAAAAGGAAACAAATACTACATTGAGTAATCAATACATTCAATCAAAGCGGAAGTAATGCTGAACCAAAACTCATAATGAATAAATCAATCGAATCTTGACTTTTCTTTCTATCATATCAGCTAGTGATTGTGAGAATTTCATAAATTCATGTTAAACGTTGAAATGACATGAAGAACCACAGTTTTGACACAACTCGTAACACAGAAAACTTTGTACTGAAAGCGATCACATAATAGACAAACTTCATGTTTTGAAATAGTGAGAATTTATAGAGAAACGAAGAATGATATTAAGAAAGTGATCACTCACAGCTGCTCTAAATCTTCAACTAAATATCATTCATTTACCTCACTTTTGTTCCTTAAAATTATTGAGTTATTAATTTTCTCTTTTGATTGTCGTCGTGCCGAAACAAGGTGTGGGATTTGGAGTAACGTACGTTATACAGTTCGATTGAGACATTTATTTATTTAAACGCATACTAGGAGGCATCAAATATATATACGACAAACTCCATCGTTCGATTTGCTTGAAGGCTGTGATACTGCCTATCCGAACTACACATAATTTTTCTCTTCATGACCAGAGTATACCTCTCTCTAAGTTAGTCTTTCCTTTCCACCTTGTCTATAGTGAATCTCACTGATTCTAAGCACCGCCAGCTTGTATCTTTTCATTCCTGCAGCTACTCCAATTAATTTTCCATTCTCCCACATTGTACAGATGTTCAATGTACTTATGTAAGTTATTGCTTCACTTGTTAGCATAGACATCATCCTCGTGATTTTCGAAAACACGTGCCTTAAAGCATGAAGTATCATTACTCTGAAAAAATACACTTCAGCTCATAGGAAAGAGTTTTTTTTTCTGATTAGTATTTCTTCAGTTAAGTTTTATCTACAGCACAAGGCTATTAATACCTGCCTAACCCTTTATTCGTGTTTGTCACTAGCAGTAGCCTTAAAAGAGTCCCAGCGGAATAAAAGAATCACAAGACGTTTTATGATAAGCTATATATATATATTTAGATATTAAACAATACAGGTCTTACATTGCACTGAATATTTGTTTACTTATTACTATTAGTGATACCCCTTCATTCAAAGTAAAAAACATAAACCGGTATTATGATTTCAATTTTCTTTTGCAAGGATGTAAAATTTTTTTGAATCATCAAAATGTTCAACTTAAATTTTAAAAAAAAAAAAAGGGAAAAGAAGATACAAAATTTGTTTTAATGAGCTAATACATGTGACCAATTAATTGGTACTGAGAATACTTCTTCTTCAAGCCATTTTTCATAATTTTCTTTAAATTCATTAGATAATTCTATTGATTGACTAAGTACACTCATTAAACAATTATCAACTGGTTTATATTCTGGATCAAACCAATTATCAGAATAACGACGTTGATTAAATTGATCAACATTAGTACGTAATGAACATTCTTCAACTTGAAATTGCCATGGTAATGCATCAACATCTATAAATAGTTATAAATTTAAAAGAAGAAATAGAAACATATCAAGAGGAAGATATACAACAAATCATGTGTTATGTCATATATTCAACATGTTTAGTTCTTTGCGTTGAACTCATTACTGAAACCTATTATGGTGTGTGACCCCAAATGCTCTGGTATGGCTCAGAGTGGGGAGTCATCTTTCCTACTCGATATGCTTTCACATGGCCACGAGTATATAGCCTATGTCAGGGAAGTCTTACTCACTGCCTTCTCGCACTACGGGTGTTGTTTACGAAAATGAGAGGATGAAAACCGAATGTCCGGCGCTTTAACTAGATCCCAAATGTTAGGTTTGATGCTAACGAGTTCACTTAGATTGCGAATAAGAACGAGATTCGATGACCAAGACCAGTAAGCTAACTATTGACGCGTCCCAGCCCCAACTAGCTAGAGGAAGAAGTCCCGGCTTGAAATGAGAAATATATTCTGCAACCACCAGAAATGAGTCATTCAACCAAACAATTTAAAACATAATTATACAAATATATATAATCGGTATTGTCATTTAAATTTTTAAACATTCGTCAATAAGTTCATCAATTGATTGCCATTCAAATATTTAAACATTTAATCGATAAAATTATAATGTGAGTTTTTGGGGAATTTATCGTCCCCAACACCAAACCAATGGTGCACATGGGCTGACTCCACGATCCTGAAGGAACAAATGGCGTATGAACCAATCGTTCGTCACCGGCTGGCTACCATGGGACTTTATCTCCTCACGATGCTCCACTGCCTTGTGGGTTAGATTTTTAGGTCAAAGGCTCGGGGTGTGGCCCCCTAAGAAAACCAACTGCTTCGGTTTGGGCACCCGGGCAGTATCACAGCCCACATACAAATATAATAAAAATAAAGAATAAAATTGTGGTGTGTACTACCGATGTCGACAGATATAAGTAGTATGCGTCACCAATCGAAAATAAACTGTCTGGCGGCAGAAGGTTGAGAAGATCGAAGAGAACGAGAATATAGAGGGATTAATGTGTGAACGAAGGAACAATGAAGTTTGAGACAACTGATTAACATTTTACAATGGGAGAATTTACTATATGGTTCTCAGATTTTAATAAGACATTATGTAATTTTGTGTCTCCGCATGTGTAACAATATTATTATTATTATTTTACCACATAGATATTAGTACAAGGTGGCACCAAATACATATGCGCCGCACAGATCTCATTTGATATGTATGAGGGCTGTGATACTGCCCGGGTGCCCAAACCGATGCAAGTGGTTTTCTTAGGGGGCCACACCCCGAGCCTTTGACCTGAAGATCTGGTCCACAAGGCAGTGGAGCATCGTGAGGAGATGCAGTCCCATGGTAGCCGGCCGGTGACCAACGATTGGTTCATACGCCATTTGTTCCTTCAGCATCGTGGAGCCAGCCCATGTGCACCATTGGTTTGGGATCCGGTTAAAGCCGGTGCCGGACATTCGCTTTTCGTCCTCTCATTTTCGTAAACAACACCCGTAGTGCGAGAAGGCAGTGAGTAGGACTTCCCTGGCAGAGGCTATATACGCGTGGCCATGTGAGAGCATTTCGAGAGGGAGAGCGGACTCTCCTCAGTATGAAACTTTACAGTTAGTCATTTGGACTATAAATAACGTTTTATAGGATAACAACAATCTATTTATAAGTAGTTCATAGTTTACATTGTTGATATATAAATAAAAATAAACATTGTATATAACTTAC